GCTCAGGGAGCCCTATCAGATTGCTGTCTGGCTGCATCTCCAATGCCTCCAGCGTGGCACTGGATTTGTTTGTCTGGTTTACAGTGGGAGAGCCTCCCTCGGACCTTGGTGCCATGGCTGTACTGCTCTAACGGGGAATTTTTCCTGCTCTCCAGCTGGAATCTAGTTCCCTGCACCTCGAGCATGTTACTCTGTGTCCTGCACTCTGGGGTGCTTAAGGAGAAATCCCGGCCCTATCGTATCGCCCCTCAGTCCTTACTTCTCCAGGCTAAACATGCCCACTTCTTTTGTCTCTGTACAGGGCTTTGTTTCCAGTCCTGATTGTCCTTTCTGCTCTCCTCTAAACCTTCCCTGTTTGCCTGCATCTTTCTTAAATGGCTGTTTCCTGACAGTGGAGAGAACTTGGTTTTTCATTCTTTGCACACTCCACCTCCAAAACCATTACAAGTGTCAACAGGCACCTTCAGAGCTGTGAAGCTCCGTCAGGCACTTTAGGCCCACAGCGATCTCTCAGCCAGACTTACCTCACAGGGTTGTTGTGCTGATAAGCACACCAAGGAAGGTGCGGTAGATTCTCAGCATAACCCTGGGCAACTGGATAGAAATGTAACTCTTGGTACTATTTCAGCACATATTTGGCAGCAGGCAACAAAAACCTACCCTTCCTTATAGCATTCTATTACACCTCTGGAGCTTCAGTGTCCGGGAGGTTAACTGAAGTCTGTATCCTTGAGGACTAGTGCCTTGCCTTTGTCTTTCTCAACAAATCCTGTTTTGTACCTAGTCTCAAGCCTTGTGTTTTACAGTGGAGTCATGGCATACATGACTGGCCACCAATTTTAGACCGGTGGCCAACATCCCGTTCTTGGGCAAGGTGTTAGAGCAGGTGGTGGCGGGACAACTCCAGGCACTCCTGGATGAAATGGATTATCTGGGCCCATTTCAGTCCGGCTTCAGACCCGGGTACGGTACTGAATCTGCCTTGGTCACCCTGTACGATGACCTGTGCAGGGAGAAGGACAGGGGGAGTGCATCCCTGATGGTCCTCCTGGACCTCTCAGCCGCTTTCGATACCATCGACCATGGTATCCTTCTGGATAGGCTGGCCAGGTTAGGAGCAGGAGGCTATGCATGGCGGTGGTTCTGATCCCACCTGGCCAGCTGATTCCAGAAGGTGGTGCTGGGGGACTATGGCTCTGCGCCATGGCAGCTTTGCCATGGGGTTCCGCAGGGCTCTATTTTGTCCCCCTTGCTCTTCAACATCTACATGAAACCGCTGCGGGAGGTCATCAGGAGGTGTGGGCTGTGGTGTCACCAATACGCGGAGGACACCCACCTCTACCTCGCGCTTACATCTACTCCAGGTGAGGCGGAGGCTGTACTGAACCAGCGCCTGGCTGAGGTAATGCGCTGGATGAGGGACAAGAAACTGAGCCTCTACCCAGATAAGGTGGAAGTCCTGTTGGTGGGCGGATCGAGGCTTCAGGTAAGTGACTTTGACCTTGTCCTAGACGGGGTAGCACTCCCTCTAAAGGACAGGGTCCGCAGCTTGGGAGAGCTCCTCGACCCGGAGCTGTCCTTGGAAGCTCAAGTGACTGCGGTGGCCAGGAGTGCTTTCCTACAGCTTCAGCTGGTCCATCAGTTGCATCCTTACCTGGACGAACACTGCCTAGCAACGGTGATTCATGCTCAGTTAACCTCCCGGTTGGATTTCTGTAACACGCTCTACGTGGGACTGTCCTTGAAAACGGTCCGGATACTTCAGCTGGTACGGAATAGAGCAGCCAGGATGCTGACGGGGACTGGGCGTTATTCTCACATAACCCCAGTCCTCTACCAGCTTCACTGGCTCCCCATCAAAGTCTGGGCCCAATTCAAGGTGCTAGTTTTAGCCTATAAAGCCCTCAATGGCTTGGGACCAGGATACCTGAAGGAACGCCTCTTCCCTGACATGCCCTCACACCCCTTAAGGTCTGCGGGAGAGGTTCTGTTCTGGTTGCCCTCTTTAACGGAGACAAAAAGAACAACTACCCGGAGCAGGACCCTCTCTGCAATGGCACCCAGATTGTGGAATGTGCTCCCTGGAGAGGTGTGGCTGGCACAAGTTTGTATTCTTTTCAGCACCAGGTCAAAACCTTTTTATTTAATCGCTATTTTAAAAATTAGTATTTTAATCATTCTGAACAGTCACTTTGATTTTGACTTTTATGTAAATTTTTATTGTATTATGTTATTTATATATGCGGTTTTATTGTATCTTGATTTTAAGGATTGTGAGCCATCCTCAAGGGATGGCATACAAAAGTTTTAAATAAAATAAATAAGAATAATAAAATACATACAGCCTTAAATATCCTGGCAAGTGATTTTGACAGCATTCGGCTTTGCAAACTAGCTATTTATTTATGTCATTTATGACTTTGCCTTCCAGTTCACAGTCAGCGTTCCCAGGGCAGCCAAGAACCTTGAGAAAGGCCCCGGTGGGCAAGCGGAAGTTCTGTCTCCTGGCCAGTGGCAAAGACTCACGTGAGGTGCTCACACAAATGTTTGTGAAAAGGAGATAAACCAAGGGCTTCTTAAGAGCTCAGAGCGGCCCACTAACATCACGGCAAACACCAGGCTGCTGATTCTTTGCAGAAGAGGGATCAAAACAGGACAGACCGACCACGTTACTTACCAGCGGCCATAGGGTTCCCAGCTGTGCTACATGCTCTCCAAGACCACAGCGGTCCGACCGGTCCAAGAAGCCAGTCCTAGAACTGGCCCAGGGCTGATGTCACAATCCTGCTCGACGGTCTGTGAACATTCTTAAAGGGAACCAAAAGCAGTTGCAGGCAAGAAAACCGTGACACTGCAGCCCAAATCAAGGCCTTGGACTCTTCAGCCGATTGCTACCGGTCACTTGCTTTCACTGGGCCGGCCACAGACTCTCAGCCCAACCTACCTCGCAGGGTTGTTGTTCTGAGGATAAAACAGCACTATGGATGCTGCCTTGGGTACCTCACAAGAGGCAAACAGGTAGGATATGAATGCAGTGTTAGCAGCAGCCGCAGAGGCAAGCTGGTGCCAAGTGGAGAATTCGCGGTCTTAGATCAGAATTGTAGTCTCCACTCTCACATTATCTTTGGTAAATTCATTTTTCTGGGCCTGATGAGTACGAACGTCCGGTCGACAGTATGGGAGCAGCACCCAAAAGCAACAGCGGGAGGTGAGGAGCCCCGGTTTTCTGTAATGATCTTTGATCCCATAACGAGAATAAAATAATGCCAAAGTAGAAAATGGAGTGCACCTTCCGACGCTTTGGGAACAGCATTCAGAACTTTAAAATGAGGATTTACCTTGGGCCAGACTATAAACATACTTGCAGTTGTATAACTTAGAACTGCTTTTGCCTGCAACCGGAAAGATGGGCAGCGGCTGGACTTTGTCCATGAAAGGCACTCCGGGTAGTCTGACTGGCAGGTTTCATGCAGAAAAAGGGCTTTTCCGTTACCCTGCTCCCAGATCATTTTGTTGCCTTCTTTTAAAGTTACAAGCAATACTTTCTGCTTGCAAAACACACGTGTTGCCTACCAGCAGGTGTCTTTTTTCCTTCTTTCCTTATTCCTGGCAGAGGCAAGTTTCTTCCCTTCTTGCAGTCCATAGATCCTAAAGCAACTTCGTATGCTGCCTTTGCAATCTACATGATGCTTCTATGCACAGTCCCCTGGCATGCATACCAGGTCAGCCATAACAAATACTGGCACGCCCAGCGCATACTCCCACAGTCCATGAGCTGTGCTCATGCACAGAAGGCAGGGGACCAAAACAAGCGGCACACGCTGAGGCCCAAGATGTGCCCTTGTTGGGTTGTAGCATTCTCACACCATTCTTCTGCTGAGAATGACCCTCGATTTCCCACAGGAGGCAAGTGGGACCAGCAGCCGCCCGCCATTTTAAATTTCCCAGCGTACCCAGAATTCTTTCGCAGCATCACACGCAATGTAAAAAGGCCATAACCCCTCTGATGCAGGGACAAACCCACTTTGGCAAGGCCTTCTCTAACTTGGAGTTCCCACTGCATGGAATCTTCAACATCCGCATCCAGAACCTGCTGGAATTCCACGACGCATCCCCAGAATTCCTTGGAGAGTCCTTGACATCAGATCTGGGCATCCCTGTAACCTCCTGGCCTGACATTTACTTATTTAAAACTTTTCGAGACAGTCCTATTACCAAAGTGGGACGGTTTAACAAAACAATTAAAAAAAAACACACACACACACACAGAATCCTAAAAAAATCAACTAATAATAAAACCCATATTAAAACAGTCACACTGGGGAAATAAAAAGGGTTTGGCCTGGCTCTGAAAAGAATAAAGTGATGGTGCCTGGCGGACCTCTTTGGGGAGCGAATTCCACAATTGGGGTGTCACCACAGAGAAGGCCCTTCTCCGGGTAGTCCCCCTCCTAATCTCCTTCAGGGAGGGCTCCTGGAGAAGGGCCTCTGCCCCAGATCCTAAGGGGTGGGCAGGCACATATGGAAGGAGATGCTCCTTCAGGTAACCAGGCCCTAAATGGGCTGAAAAGGGTACCACACTCCTGCTTTTAGAGGAAGGTTCTGAGATGCTGAGCATGGCCTTCCGACAAGCCAAGGTTCCGGCGTACCACAAGCCTTCACGTGAACCTTGGGCACTGCACAACGTTTGCGGCCCAGAAGGCTGCACTCATGCCTCCCCTGCCTGAGATTGCTCTGATGGTGGGGAAGAACGCAGCGTTGGGGTCACTGAGGGAGGGGAGCCGAAGTCTCCTTATCCCCCACCCCATTAGGAGCAGCTTCCCCGGCACTGGCGATTTACCAGACTGAACAGCTGCCTTTTCTGTGCTGCTGATTTGGGCTGCACAGCAAAGTAGGGGAGCGTCCCCCCGAGAGTGGCCGTGGGGCACACAGGTGGTGTACCCCCACTCTCTCCAAGCAATCCCCCCCCCCCGCCAAAGAGACACACACAACTGCAGAGCAAGGGGCGGAAACGGCTATGTCAATTTAATCAGAGGGCGAGTAATTTCACACACAACAAACCGGACACACACCATGAAGATCATTAACGAGGGCGCTCGGTTTAACTCGGCTGGAGGCTTCTTCAGAGCGTGAGCGCACCTGTCCAAATATCTGGTCTTTCAGAGGAAGAAACGCTGCTTCCTCTGACATGATAAAAGCAGAGCCGGCACTCGCCTGTCCGAGCTTTCAAGTAATCCAAATTGGGTCAGTCTTTCAGTAGTTTAACGACAGGGAGTCCAGGCAGAGAGAAATTTAACACTTTCGGGAAAACAGGCCCCGAAAGGCTCCGTGCCGCGTGCTTCCCCCCTTCTTCAATCAGCAGATTAAAAGATAAGAAAATGCACCAGCTTGGCAAATACCTTAACGACCCTTTCAAACATACCTATCCACTCCCATTCCATGTGGGAACGTCAGTGCTAGGGCTATGTCCCTGCCACATGTTCCCGTTGAGTCTTCAAAGCAAATTGCTTGGACGATCCCGACCTTGCAGGATTAAAAGTCCTCTGAGCATGGTAAAAAGTCCTAGGAGCTGAGTTTTTTTGACGTCGTCTTGGTTGCGTTTAAAAATATTAAAATCCAGAGGACTTGGCACGAAAAGCGCAGCTGCGTGGCGCCCTCTAGTGGTTGTTCTTTGCTGCCTCTTTTGCCGCGATGATCAGAGGAGTGAGGCTGGACAGGGGCTTGGCAATTTTCAGGAACTGGTGCTGGAAGAGAAGGAGAAGGTGTTGGCCAAGGAAGACACCTGCCCAAGCCACCCGACGGGGATCCATCCAGAAAGCAGGTGCCTCTGCCCCTAGAACTGATAGGGCTTCTTCCTCCTATTCCGCTCCCTGGCTGAGACATGCATGCGAAGCGGGGAAGACCAGGGCTGCATTGAGCTGAAGGTGCCTAGCGGGAGGTGAGCGGCTTGCAAAGGCTGCGGAGACCATGTTCTTGGAGAAATGGCTTCAAGAGCTGGATATGTTTCTCCTGAAGCAGGAAAGAGTACGGGCTTTCTGAAGGACAGCTGTGTGGAAGATGGAGCAGAGTTGTACTCTATTGCTCTGGAGGGAAGGTCTGGAAGCAACAGGGGGAAACTGCAGGGAAGGTGATTCTGGCTAAACGCCAGGAGAAACCTAACAGAAAGCGCCTCGGAAATCACTGGGCTGCCCTTTGGCAGAGGTGGCCCAGCGGAGACTGGAGGTCCTGATCTCAGGGATGTTTATTTATTTTTATTTATTTTTGGATTTATATCCTGCTTTTTTCCTACAAAGGGCTCAAGGCAGCTTACATCATCTCTCCTCCTCCATCTGATCCCCACAACAACAACCCTGTGAGGTAGGTTGGGCTGAGAGCCTGTGACTGGCCCAAAGTCACCCAGTGGGCTCCATGGCTGAGCGGGGACTCGAACCCAGAACTCCTGAGTCCCAGTCCCATGCTCTTAACCACTGCACCACACTGGCTCTCAATGTTGTGTCAGCTCCCACTGCAGATCCTTCTCAGCACAGGGGCTGGGGCTCACTGGCCTCCGAGATCCCTCCCTAAACTATGATTCCATGGATTCCACCCCTGAATGGGGTGCAGGACCCATCTCCTGACTGCAGGAACGCAGGAGGCTGCCTTGTCCCGGGGCAGGCCGGTTGGTCCATCTATAGCCCAGGAGTGTTTCAGAACAGCTCTCTGGGGTCCTGGGGTAGGAAGTCTCCTCATTGCATGCCCCCTGATCCCTTCAAACTGGAGATACCAGGGCCTGAACCCCTCCATCTTCGGGGCCTTCTGCATGAACAGCACATATGGCGCCAGACTAGCCTCCCTGTAAATTTATTCCAGAAACGGGTTGCTACTACAGAAAAGGCTATTTCCCTTGTCATAGCCAGTGGCTGCATTCACACAACACAACAAGTGTGCTTACTACAGTTTGCAGTTTTTTACCACGATCTGACGGATCGCCACCCTTTCCAGGGGATTCCATGGTATTTGTACACCAGGACCGTGGAAACTGTGATCCTAGGTGCAGACAACACAACAAGCCATGGTGATATGGAGAACCACAGAACAAACCGTTGTTTCTTATCATGGTGAATCAGAATGGAGAAATACCATGATGTTTTTCAGACCACTCAACAGACCAATAATGGTTAAAAAAAAAAAAAAACCACCATAGCTTCCTATGTTGTCTGAACCCGGCCAATATATGAGAATTCAGGGGGATCCGAAGTTTACTTGTATATCTGTATGCAGCCTTGTGCCAAGCAATCTGCACTGGTTAGGAATGCTGGCAGTTGTGATGCGAAATAACTGGAGGTTGGGGCTGGCACTAACTGAGGCAAATTCTACACTAGCATTTGACCAAGGGTGTGGAATGGGCTTCCACGGGAGGTGGCTGAAGCCCCATTGGTGCGGGTGTTCAAGGACAGGCTGGACATGCACATGGTGGGCATGTCGTGAGCGGAGCTGGCTGGAGCCGGGGGTCAGACTAGATGGCCCGGGAGGCCCCTTCTGACTCGCTCTGTTTCTATGTGCCTTTCCACTGAGCTATGGGAATCGCACAGGTAGGACATTAAGAGCCTTGCTGGATAAGACTAAAGGCTTATCTAGTCTAATGTCATATGCACAGTGACTGGGTGGCCTCATGAATGAATAAATTCATAGATTTCTGGGCTGCTATATTTTGCTATACATAAAATATATTGGGGTATATGGTATATGGCGAAAGTAAGGTGTTTGGGGGGAATCCTGAAAATGGCACAAAATAATGACTGAAGGGTGGAGAGGCACAAAGTGGTGGAAGGGAGGATCAGGGAGGAGAGACGGCTTGGGGCCTCCTACCTAAACGTCGAGTGCCTCATGTCTAGAACTTCAGGTCTACTGAGGAGGCCCTTCGGGCTACACCATCAGTAAGCAAAGTCTAGAGTCCTGAGAACTCATAGCAGGGACTTCTCAGAGGTAGCACCCTGGCTGTGAAACACCTTCCCCCTAGAAGCTGGACTGCCACAAATATTTGTTAGCCTCAGCCTAACTCTTAGGGGGTATGTGAGGGGGTGTCACACGGAGGTGGGCAGAGACCTGTTCTCCCCTGCAGAGGAAGGCAGGATGAGCTCCAACGGAGCAAAGCTCAGGGAACCCAGGCTCCATTTGGATGCCAGGAAGCACTTCCTGACAGTTGGGACCCTGAGGGTGTGGAATGGGCTTCCTCGGGAGGTCATTGAGGCCCCATCGGTGCGGGTGTTCAAGGACAGGCTGGACGTGCCCATGGTGGGCATGTCGTGAGCGGAGCCGGCTGGAGCTGGGGGGTCGGGACTAGATGGCCAGTGGGACCCCTTCTGACTCACTCTGTTTCTGTGTTTCTAGATGTTTTGCTGGGTTTTGGTGCCAAAAGACAGTGGGCGGAGGCTTCCCCACCACTCTGCCTCCAGGCTCCAAACCATGAGGGTCACCTGTAGGAGTTCTTTTGCGGATCCTCTCTTCTCCACATCCATCTCTAGGCAGCGATTAAGGAAGTCTCTAAAGATGGGAGAAAGCTTCTCCGGATTCTGCAACTCTGGGGTCCCGTTGGTAGCAATGAGATACAAAGCCTGGGTTGGGGACAGAGGGGGAGAAGGATGAACTGAGGGAACAGCTGATCTCTCTGGACCAAGTCTTTTCCCACCTGCTTGCAACTGGCAGTGGCACCAGTAATGCAGTGGGAAATTGGGAGGCCAAGCTCTCAGTGGGAACCCCCAGGTGTTGGCACGCCTGCAGGAAGGTTGGTGTGCTTGGGCGCACTGGGACGCCCCCAAAAAGAGCAGCACATAAGTGTCATCCCGAACGTGTTAGGATCAGCCACCAGGCATAGAACAGAGAGCTGGGAAGCGGAGTGTGCTGGTTAACATGGGACTTTGGTTGGATCGACCCAAGGCTGCACGAGAAGGACACAACATGCCCCCTTCCAACTCAAGATTTTTATTTATTTATTTTATTTATTAAAATATTTTTATGCCGCCCCATTCACCGAAGCCTCAGGGCGGCTTACAACAATTAATTAAAATAATTATAATCATTAAATTAAAAAATATAAACATTAGATTAAAATACAAAAATACAATATAAAATAAGCCGCCCTGGCCAGATAAAATCCAATAATATTAACAGTTAAAATGACACTTGAATAAAAAGGTCTTTGCCTGGTGCCAAAAAACAAATAACAACGGTGCCAGGCGATCCTCTCTGGGGAGCGCATTCCATAACTTAGGCGCCACCGCAGAGAAAGCCCTCCTCCGAGTACCCACCCTCCTAATTTCTTTCACGGAGGGCTCCCGGAGAAAGGCCTCTCCCGCCGATTTTCCAAGCTTTTCCTCTCCCAGCACAAAGGATAAACATCTGATCTCAAAGAGAACAAGCCAGATCTGTTGGTTTTCACTTCCAACAGTGGCAGATCTTCTGCAAAGCTCACGGGGCATAAACCCCGATTCAAAACCAGGCCTGACTTTGCTCTGTGAGAGGGAGAGAGAGAGAGCAGCTTGTTGGAAAGACTCATTTTCCTCCAGCTATTGTAAGGGAAGTGGAAAATCCAGGGGGTGTGGCAGACGACATCACAGCCCCCGCCGATCAGGAAATCCCGGCGTGTTGACCCCGTGAGCCAGGCTCCGCTGCAACACTCGGTGCGAAGGCTGCAGCTGGGAAGCTTCGGCCTGAAAACCTAGCTCTGAGCCTTGCCCCTTCTCTCCAGGCTACACCTGGGCTGGGAAGCACTCTAGAAACACCATGTGCCCTCTTTGGGGAACAAAGGGAATGACGCTTACCCGCAGGGGATTCTCGTTGAGGTACGGAGGCTCGCCCTCGATCATTTCAATCGCCATGATCCCCAGGGACCAGATGTCCACCTTGGGCCCGTAGGCCTTCCGCGTCACCACCTCCGGAGCCATCCAGTACGGCGTCCCGACCATGGTGCTGCGCTTGCTCTGCTCAGGAGTGATCTGAGCGCAGAAGCCGAAATCAGCTGGGGAGGAGGAGAAAGAGCAATGCAAACGGCAGCCATGAATGCCAGCTTCTACCAAGCGAGTGGTCCAGCTAGTCCGGCAACCAAAGATCTTTTTATTTGGAGATTCATTAACTCGCTCTCTATTTAACCCACTTGATCACCCAAGTTCTCTGGGCCACGAACAATACACTAAAAACATAGAGTACAAATATTAAAATGATAAAACTGGTGCAGAAGAAAACCAAATAAAAGCCAGCAGCCGAATAGGATGCTGAAAGCACCAAAAGGAAAACTTCTAGAAATGCCTGGGAGAAGAAAAAGGGCATCAGCTGAGCTGGAAAGACCATGCCATTGTAAACCACCCAGAAAACATTGGCAATTAGGCGGTGTAGAAATGAAACTGCTAACAGATGATGATGATCATCATCTAGGGCTAAGAAATCTTCCCACGATGGGATGGCACTGCTCTTGCAGCTATTCCCCTTCCCTCATTTGATTGGAGCACCAGAAAGGGGTCTTGGATGAGATGCCAGGAACTGAGCACAGGACTCTTCACATGCAAATCCTTTTGGTCAAGGGAGTTTCCTCTGTGTCAGAAAGAAGATCTCCAGATGTTATGGACTTAAAATCCCTGACACTCCTGCCCACTGGCCATGCTGGCAGGAGCTTCTGGGAGGTGAAGTTCTGAAGTCTGCCTCCTGCCCACCCCTGCTCTAAGTTATGTGGCGTTTCAACTTCGGGGGCTTTAGAAGATCTTGAGTTCAGGAGCTGGGGAAGATCCCCAAATCATTTTATGAAGCAAACTTGGTCTTTATTTGCTGCTGCTCTTATCGGGGCAAAAGCAGGAGGGCCTTCTGTCTGGGCTAAAACCCAAGTGCGGAATCTCAGCTTCCAGACTGGAGCGTTGCCAGTGAAACTTACAGCTCGGCCTAGAGATGGGCAAAGGATTTGCCTGCTGGGGGGGATCTGTCAGATCTCCTGGGCTTGGCTCCCAGGACTCAATCCACTTAGCACAGCCCCGAGTCTGAGTTCCTGGCGAGATCTCCCAGTGTTTGCTGGCCCTTTCAGGAATCGAGTCCCAGGCACCTGGGGAAGCAGCGCCCCTCTTCTCCACCCAGCACTGCTCTCACTGGCTGCACAGGGGATGCCGTTTCACATCCTGCGGCCGCTGGGAAGGTTGCCAGTTGAGCCACTGAGGGTCTGGGAGCATCCCTGGACTTCCTCCTGGCTTGGCTGGCCCTGCAGGACCGGGCCAAGCGCAAGACGTCGTCCGTGGATGCTAGACGGATGGGCTCCAAAAGGGCCTTAACTCTCAAACAATGTTGCCTGCATTGCAGGTACTCAGCAGGGTGTTGTTTGGGGGGGGGGGGGTTAATAATAAGTTTTATTCAAAATTTAACCCTAAAATGAAGAAAAACTAAAATCATCAGAAATATCGGACCTGCTGGGTCAGCCCCCACATTTTTTTCCATTTATGATAACTTAAAAACAGATTTAAACCTATATGAAGTCCCGTTTCTCTAGCCAATAATAAAAAGAGCCCCAAATTTGATAGAAATCAGTATCTTCTTTCTCCTTCAATGACCAAGTCAATCTATCCGTTTCTGCACCGTCCAAGATCTTTTTTTTTTTTTTAGGATCAGTTCATCGGTGGGATGCAATCCTCGCCGCAGTAATTACATGTAAAATCAAATACATTTCTTGTTTACTAATATCAACAGGTATAATGCCTAAGAAAAAGACTTCAGGTTTAAAAGCTAAGGATTTTTGTAACATTTCCTCAAGCCATTTACGTGTTTTAATCCAATACTTTTTCACATTATCGCAAGTCCACCACATATGATAGAAAGTACCCAATTTATGTTTACATTTCCAGCAGAGTGTTTTGATCATCAAAGACTTGATGCCTAACTCTTCCTTAAGGCCTTTTCAGTCTGGACATGACTTTGATGTGTTAACTGTCCATTTTTCTCGGTTATATCCACACATAAAATCAGAGCTGCATGAAGCCAGCTGCCACATCTGCCCCAAACTGGATCGTTCCAGGTGTGCTGGCTGACAGCTCCCAGAATCCCCCAGCCAGCACAGCTGGGGGTTGCTGCCTGACACACCTGGAAGACTCCAGATTGACGAGTGCCACTCCAGAACTTTCACAGAATTAAGATGGATGCTGTTTGCTCTCTCAAATGGGCATTTTAAGAACTCACACCTGGGGCACAATTCTTGTCCTTTCTGTAAAAATGTGACTGAGGAGAACACATATTCCGTCACCCCCAGTGCTCCCTGTTTTAGAATGCACACAAAAAGGAATTTTGCAAGTGTAGGCTCAGGAAGAATTTTGCTACACCGAGTGAATTTTAGGAGTTTGGTGGTGTTACCAATAAATGCTTGGGCAGACCGGGAGTTGTATTGGCTGCTCCACCCTGAATGTCCCTCTGCTTGCATCATGGCTTGCAACAAAACAGTAACACCTTTGGTATTATAGCACAGAAAACTGGTGCTTCATGGCTCAGCTGCAGCTCCTTCCCGTATGTCTTGCGGGATGCTTTCATTACAACCACGGCTGAAATCAAAAGCCAGAGCCCCCTTTCTTTGGGTAAATCTACCACCAGGGAGGAATCTTCCATCATTCTCTAGTTGGCAAAGACAGCTTGTTTTTGTTTTAATTAAAGCAAGGGCCAAATTTACAACTTCCAGGCCTCCATTTCCCCCCCCATCATCCTTACTTAGCTTGACAGAGCCGTCCATTCCAAGCAAGATGTTGTCACTCTTGATATCCCGGTGGATGACCTGGTTGGAATGTAGGAATTCCAATGCTTGTAGACACTATGGAGGGGGGAAAACATACCCCAGGTATTAATGAGTTAACTAACCCAGCAAGTAGCACAATCATTGAAACAGGTGCATGAATGGAGGGGCCATGGGTCACAGCAGCGTTCATCCCAGCACCTATAACTATAGAAATATGGGAAGCCACCCGGTCCCTCCAGTTAAGGTCAGGGTCCATGTTTTTTGGGGATCTTGGGCAAGACAACTTCCCCAGGCCCTGCCGATCCTTCACCCCACCCACCTTCCCACCACTGTTATCACCAGCAACAAATGCTCTTCCTCCTCCCCACAGGAGCAAGAGCCGAAGGCCCAACGGGCTGTGGCATCTCCTGCCCTTCCGTCTCACCACCTCTGTTGCCTGAGCCAGCATGAGGGGCAGGTGAACCAGCAGGTGGCAACTGCCAGTGGGCCCCTGCTGAGAGGAGGGTCCCTGGCAGGAGCCCCATCATCCCACCTCTTGACTCCGGCCCTGATCAGGATCCTCTGGCTGACCAGAACGTTTGCCCTAGATCAGCAAGGTTTTCCAGCTCCTAATCCTTGGGCAATGCTAAGGCAGAATCAAGTTTCTCCTGCAAATATTGCCTATACTGCTGAAATGAAGCGAGAGGTAGGGGCTGGCCAGGAGTGGCTTTTGCTATCAAAAGGCCATGAGCTCAGTTCTGCTACTCAGAATGAATCCCTGGGCTCAGAATTATTCCATGGGAAGTCTTTGTCCCTTCCATCAGAGGCTCCTGTGGGTGAATCTCGGGATTCTAGTAAGAAAGAGAGCGGATCCTGGATCTACTAGCCTCCGCCTGACAGCCAGCAGGTCCTGCGGGCCTCAGGAATCCGTCAGGCTTTCCCCCGTTCCAATGGCATGGGAACATGCCGTCTCCATGCACACATGGAGTAGAACGATGCAAGCATTATTAGCGAGAAGGTAAGGCACAGAGAAACGAGTCCACAGTTTGCACAGATCTGAGGGCAAAATGGTATTTTTTCATTAATAACAAAGCTCCAGGTAATTAGGACAGAAATCCCTTCCTGCCACATACAAACCAGGCACCAGAGGAGACAATCAGAAGCGGGTTTCTAAAATGCCTGTTTGGGGGGGGGGGGGGGGGGGGGGAGAGGAAGAGCTTTGCACATCAATGAAAGGATAATGAGCTCGCAAACTCTCTGAGGGGTTTATTTTGTAACGGGGATGCGCCACCATTTATGTGAAATGATTCCAGAAATACCAGACTCGGTCTTTACACACACACCCGCGTAGTGAGAAATACATCCAGAAATAAAAAGCCAGATTCTGACTGGGCATCAGGAAAAGGCTCCCGACCGGTAGAGCAGTGCAGCAATGGAACGGAGACCCGGGGAGGTGGTGGGCTCCCCCACCCTGGAGGCATGTAAGGGGCAGCTGGACAGCCTCCTTGGAGGGAGGGCTTAAGCTGGACTCAGCAGGGGGTTGGACCCCATGGCCGCAGAGACTTCTATGGGCCAAGCGTGACTCATCCCTTCGGAATTCCATCCTCACCTCCCGGCACACAGCCGCGATCTGTCCTTCGTCCATGCAGGTCTCCGTCACCACGTCTGTCAACGACCCGCCTGCCAGATACTCCATGACAACCCACAGTTCGTCCCCCACGAGGTAACTGCCGTGAGCCAGAGAGAAACAACAGATGCTCATTGTCTCCCCGGGCCGAACACCTCCGCCCACCCTCCACCGAGCCTGAGAGCAGAGCCACGAAGGAAAAACTACACTCTGCAAGCTGGTAGCACAAAGCCACCGGTGTGTGAAGTTATGGGGAGGGTCTGATACTTGAGGGAAACATTTCCCCGATTCAAATTCTGACTCGGAGATTAAACTTCTTATGCGGGTCAGGGAGATGTCCTTTCACGTAAGCAGCTTTGCTCAACCCTGCCCTCTCCAGGCACGTCGGACTACAAATCCCACCATCCCCAGCCAGTGTGAAGGTAAAACGCAGGGAAAACTTTTACGCCTCTTCTGGAGCACCCTGGGGAAAAAAGCCTTTTGATCTGCGGAACACCTATCTGTGGAAACAGGTCCCAATACCCAATTTCAGGCCTCTTCAAATGAACATTTAAGATTAAATTGGTAGCTTGATAATTTTGCAGCAGGCTCCTGCAAACATCTCCCGTGTTTGATGCCTTCTTAGTTGGATACTTTTGGCACCTGGTTTGTTTGCTTAAAGCCTAACAGACCCTGGGACCTGAAAATTAAACAGAGACTGTTGGGTTGGCAAGGTATTTTACTTGCAGTCCAAGAAAGAGTCCCATTACTTGCAGAAGAGTAGAGGGGCTAGAGAGACCCCCTTCCTCCTGCGCTCTCACACCTAACTTCCCTCTACTGATGGCTGCTTGCCTGCGGTCGGAAAATATCTCCAGCGCTAGCCCTGGAATCCATCCGTGCAAAACACTGTGGGCACACAGAATCAGCCAAAGGTTGACTGAGTGCCAAGAGGCCGTTGGCCACATCCCAAGAGCTTCCGGAATTCAGCATCCACTGCCATGGCAGCAGCTGCCCACAGGGAATTCTGTTCGTGCCCAGGGAAGATGCCTCCCATCTGTGGAACAGCCTCCCGGCCGGCAGCAATTTTGCCATCTTTTCAGCGCCCGATCAAGACACTCCTCTGTGCGGGGGCCTTTAAAGACCTCCTTGCTTATCTAGGCACTGAGTGGGTGGGGGAATATCTTCTTGCTGGATCTTTTTGTAGCATTTTAGTGTTTGTTAAGCTATTTTAAATGTGTTTTAAATTCATCTGACCTTGTTGTTTTATGTTATTTTAATGGTATTTTATCATTGCTGCAAACCAGCCAGAGTGCTTCAGCTATGGGGCAGTAGAGAAAGGGATTAAGAACTACCATGCATCTTTAAGCACAGTGCTATATGAAAGATCCTGTTTAATGACAGCTCTTAGGATGAAACGAGGAGATGGGTGCCGAAGGAATACCACCCCCCCAAGCAAATTTCCATGCCTCCCCTCCCCTTCTGACAATTCACATGACCCCAACCGATGAAGAACAAAAGCCAGTTTCTCCTGCCACCCCCCTCCCACCAAGCAAGCACAGGTGGTCTCATGCAAAGCTCACAACAACCCTGTGAGGTAGGACAGGACACCCAGAGAGTTTCAAGGGCAAGCAACCATTTCAGCCGCTTTCTGCAAAGTTGAGCGCGGCTGTGTGAGTTCAGGGAAGAGCTGATTCTCCTCTGGGTATCAACTGTTGAGAACTGAGGAAAAAGGGCGGCTATCCAGGATACCTGAAGGATACCTCTTCCCCTATATGCCCCCATGCCCCTTAAGATTGGCAGAGGAGGCCGTACTCCAGGAACCCTCCCTGAGGGAGGTGCGGAGGGCCTTCTCTGCAGTGGCACCCAGGTTGTGGAACACACTCCGCAGAGAGGTCCGCCTGGCACCAACCCTCTATTCCTTTTGGCGCCAGGTAAAGATCTTTTTGATTTAATCTCCATTTTAACAATTAATATTATTTTATTCATATTGTTAATTTATATACAGTTGCATTTTATTTTTACTTGTATTAATTAAGAGAGGATATATTGGAATGTTTTGTGCTATTTATGTATTTTCATTTATTGTGAAATTTTATTCGTGTAAGCCGTCTCGAGGCTTTCGCAAAAGACAGCATACAAATGTCTTAAATCAATAAATAAATTCATGCATTTTCTTTAATGGAGTCGGATGGGCTTGGCAAGCCCTGTGCCCCCATTCTGGTTCTACAGAAACTGCACCGTGATTTCGTGCGTGTATTTACACCTGGTCTGGCTTCACCTAAGACACCCAAAGCAGCACACAAGAATCAAATCAGACAAGCCATGGATGGCCTACAGAATGTAGAACTCAGCCCCTGAATTATAAATTAAAACAGAGCCAAGGAGAGAGAAGGCATGCCTACAAAACAGTCAGAGGGGAACATTTTAATCCTGAGAATCTGGGCAGCAAAGCATCTCTGGCAAGTATGGTCAAGTAGGCATTCCTGCAGTGCCTGGCCGACCGGGACAGGAAAAACCAAGCATTCGGAGCAGCGGGGCAACGGGGGCAAATGCCAAACACAGCTTGCCTGCAAGATGGCAACTAGGGGTGGGGGGGAATCATATGGCTAAGTCCCGATAAACAGCATCTGCTCTTTAAACGCTGGTAGCATTCCTCTCTCTCACTCTTTCTGTGCAGTCCCGTGCATGTTTAAATGAATACCGGGGTAGAGCTGAAAATCGGCTTTTTTGCATACGGTTGTAAGACTACCAAAACAAGCCTTTAGGCAATGGTGGTTAAGTCTCATTAAGCTGCAGAGGTTTGCAGGGTGGAGGAAAAGTTGCAGGCATGACTGTAAAGCTGGGTTTAATTATTCGTATTATCATTTATCTTAAAAACATCCATGATATCCCACCTTTTCTTCCTGTAAGGAACCCAAGATGCCTTGCATCATCCTTCTCCTTGTCCTGTTATCCTCACAACAACCCTGTGAAGTAGGCTAGGCCAAGCAACAGACCAGCCTGAAGTCATCCAATGAGCTTTATGGCACAGTGGGGACTAGAACCCGGGTCTCTTCGGTCTACTACCACACAGGACCTCCTGGTCTGGCTGCCCCAAAGTCTAACCTAAAAGCAGAAATTTCTACTTTCGCCTTCTTAGGGGCCTCCATCAAAGACACAGGACCTGTTGTCTGTTAGAAATCCCCACTGACCAAAGTGCTCAAGTTAACTAGATCCAATTGTCTCCAGGAGAGATTATCATTATTTCAAAAGCTACTATCTTATTTCAGGAGTGGTGAAATGACTGGCTAAGAGAAGAGACAGGCATTTCCTGGGAAACCACCAGTCTTTTGAAGTTAACTCCTAGTGTGGCTACCAGGAAAAAAAATCTTCTCTCAGCTTTTGAAATGTGGTTTAATTTCAAGACGATCTCCTCAAACATGTTACGTACGTTCTGGCTCAACAGCATGCAACCGAACAAGAGTGTTATTGTTCTCCAAGTTGCGTGCTGCTCTGCACAACTGCACACATGCTATCTTTATTCACAACAAATGCATCCTCAGAGTTGGGATATGTAAATATGCCGAATGGCACCAGCCATGAACAAGAGAGGGGCTCATAGAAACCCAAATGTTTGCAGAAGGACAAAAAATAAAACTTTGGGGGAGAAAGCTAAGCTCAGGATAATTCCCATAACCATGCAAAAATCAGGTCGTATTGCACATGCGCAGTGGCCATGAGAGAACTGAATGTCGGAGGGGAGATGGAAAAAGGGGAAAGGGGAAAGGCGTCTTGAATGGAGAGCTGAACAGATGCCTGCTGCAACACCGCATTGAAGCTCGTGGCAGAAAGATGATGCTCCCACGGAGTCCCCGTGACGGCACCCTCTGAAAAAGTGATGCCTTTGATCCAGGCAAGTATTTCCAGGCAAATGGGCTCCCAGATGCCTTTTCTGTGAGGAGCTTAGGAGGTTTCCAGAGTGAAGTGAAGGGGCTGAGTGCCCTCTCCAGCTAGGAGCAGCAGAGCAAATTATGCAAAATAAGCAGATTATGCACCTCAGTCACAGAATCCAGCTTTTCTTAGCACAAAAATGAGGCAGCCTTGATGAGGACTCGTTTGCATTCCTCATTATGCACAAAGTGTACGTAACCCTGCCTTTACTTGATCTAAAAAGACTTAATTGCTGCGGCCAGCGGCTTCCTTCAGTGTTTCTCGATTCTCTCTTTTTAAAAATTATTATACTGAGCCTCCACTGTCCATGGTGTCTCCCAGGAGAATGCCACCCTAGTTATTGATTTATAATCCTTTCTCTTCCCACAGTTCCATGACTCAAAGGTGGCTGATAAAACACTGGAAGCTAAATGCAAAGGCTCTTTTAGAAGGAGCTGCAGCTGCTCAGCAAATATGCTAATGAGCTATGCAAAACTGGTGTGCACAGCTCATTAAGCTATGCACTGGCTTAGCCTGGTTAAGAGCACAGGGCTGGGACTCAGGCGATCCGGGTTCCAGTCCCCGCTCAGCCATGGAGCCAGCTGGGTGACTTTGGGCCAGTCACAGACTCCCAGCCTGTCCTACCTCACAGGACTGTTGTCGTGGGGAAAAGTTTGAGAGCAGGAGGAGAATAAGGTAAGCTGCTTTGAGTTTGTAAGAAAAGGCAGGATGTACGTCTAAATAAATGAATATATCCAGGCAGGACCAGAAGCGAGTCCAATTGGGACACTGCAGCTGTGGCTAGTCACTTATGTCAACCCTGGACTAGCTGGATGAATAATCTGATATTGCACAGGGCAGGCAAGCTTTAGGGAGCTTACTAAAAGAAGGTGCTTCATTTTGTGGCTTGAAAGATGGGGGGAGGGGGGAGAGAATCGTAGGCAAACGAAGTTGCTGGGAAAGGTATTCCACAAATAGGGTGCCACCCCCTAAAAGACCCCATCTCTAGCTGCAGCCCACCTACGGCTTGGGACCAGGATACCTGAAGGGACATCTCCTTCCTTATGTGCCCTCATGCCCCTTAAGATCTGCGGGAGAAGCCCTGCTCCAGGAACCCTCTCCAAGAGAGGAAAAAAGGCCATCAACTCGGAGCAGGGCCTTCTCTGCTGTGGTGCCGAGACTCTGGAATGCGCTCCCCAGAGAGGAACGCCTGGCGCCAAGTTTATACTCTCTTTGGCACCAGGCCAAAACCTGTTTATTTAAACAGTATTTTAAACTCTAATAGTTTTTTTAATTTAGTTGCTCTGTTTGGTTTATTGTTTTGTTCTGTTTTATTATTGATATTGTTGTTTAATTGTCCTTTTAAAAATTGTAAGCCATCCTGAGATCTTGTAGAATAGGATGGCATACAAAAGCTTTAAATAAATTATATATATGGCCAGATACTGGGGCCCTTAAAGCAAGGCTGACAAAGGGGAGACGCGGCCTTGGGGCTCTGTGGACTGAGACTTGGGAGATCTCGAATCTATTCCCGGCTTGGCAACTTTGGGCCGTACCCCGACGTTCGGTCTGAAAGGGTTGTTGGGAGAATAAAAATGGAGAAAAGCAGAATTAAGTAAAGTGCATTGGGTTCCTTGCAAGAAAATAAGGTAGGATGCGCATATACTCAAGGAATAACCACCAACCAGTTCCCCTCTTGCCGGACTGCAGGTACCTGTCCAGATAGTTGACAATGTTGGGGTTCTTGTTTTCCCTCATGACAAGGATTTCATTTATAATCAGTTCTTTCTTCGGCTGCTGCTGCAAGTTCATTTGCTTGATTGCAACCTGGAATTGGGACAGGGAAAGTTAGGGAAGAAGCATCACTATTTGTACATTACCATCAGGCTCAAGTCACTAGTCCTCAACACCTTGGCTTGAACACCTAGGCCAAGTCCTCCACTGCAACTCCTCCACCTCTCCTCTAATTCAGTGTGAAAACCAACAGTCCCACCAGAAAGTCCCACAGACACCTGACTGAACATCCAGGGCAGCCTGCATGTCTGAATCAGCCACCACAGAGCTCATGCTATGGGTGGAATTTCTCAGTCCCCGTCTGACATTCCCTCAAACATAATGCACTTTTCCATGCATCTGTCACTCTGTTGAAGAAGTTCCTAACACTCAGTGGTCCAAATTCCCGGCTGGCACATCAAGGGGACAGAGCTGGGGAGAGCTACAGCACCCTGTTTCCACTGAGTCAAAGCACCTGTCCCTGTTTCTCCTCTTTGCACCTGGCTCCATTGCTTTCTGCCCTTCCTCTGTTGATTCCCCATGGCTCTCTTTTAACGTATTGCGATCGGTCAAGTCCTTTTCTTTGTAAAGCATAGATGGCACACCGTGAGCCAGCTGTTCTATAAACGGCCACAGCGACTGGAGAGCAGGACTATAAGCAATGCTGGAAGTTGTAGGGAAACAGATTTTGACTATGCATCTGAAGAAACGTCCTGACAGCAAGTGGTGGGTTTCCCTGGGCAGGCGACAGCCCTTTGCCAAGGATGCTGCATAGAGCAGGGGCTGGCCCAGGCGATCTCCAAGACCTCTTCCAACTTTGCAGGCCTACAAAATTTAGCCTCCCTTCCAGGAAGCAACGCAAGGTGGTCTGGCTGGACGTCTGGCTGGTTGGCTACGCAAGTTCTGGCTGGTTCTTCCATCTGCCAACCAGCCGGAACTTGCGCAGCTCCAGCAATTCCACTTTTAGGCCACAGCCTTCACAAAGAGGATGCTGTTCTATGCTGGACTTGAGTTATGCCAACACTGATCGCATCAAGGAAGGAAGTCCGATTCAGTCCCATTATTTTGAAACTGAGCCACAGTTCACCAGCGAGGTGTCAAGCCCTACATCTCTACAGTAACAGCCATGCTGAGTCCCCCACTTTTATGAATATTCCTCAAAGGATTAATCTGCAGATTGAAATTATTTGCTTGGCCATTGGGTGCTCAGGCCAAGCTGAAGTTGGAAGCTGGTCTCCTACTTACCTCCTGCCCTGTAGCTACATCCATTGCTGTGTAAACTGTACCTGAAGCTCTAAAAACAAAAACAGAAGGGAAGGGTGAAATAAAAATACCTCAGGTGCCTTATTTGCAAATTTGGATTATTAGCACATGGCCTTCTCTTATTCTATGAAGAAAACAGAAGAAAAGATAGAAGAGAAGATAGGCTGGACATGCCCATGGTGGGCATGTCATGAGCAGAGCCAGCTGGAGCAGGGGGTCAGACTAGATGACCCAGGAGCCCCTTTGACTTGCTCTGATTCTATGTTTCTATATACTCCTTGTTATCCAAATAATAAGGGCACTAAACGAGCTAGTGAAACAAGCATTCTACATTTCCTGTAATCTTTTATTTCCTGCAAGAACTTGCTCTGTTATAAACCCTGGGGGGTGGGGAGGAGAGAATTTGGAGACAAGGGTTCAAGTTAAGAGGTCTGCCACTGGTCTTGTATATAAGGCATTGATTCAAAGCAGGCAGCTTAGCCATCACAGTGGAGCAGAAATGGCCAGCTACTAGAGGTCGGGGAGACAATTTCGGTGGCCCATGGAGTTCCAACAACACACAAACGAAATTCTGCCATTTTGCCACTGATTCTCATCAGCTAACCGCTACAGAAAGCTATAGAGGCCATCTATAGAGCTAAACTGGGCCTCAACGCTATTTCCCTGGTGGATCCATGCTGACTTATGCTTGCAAACCAGCTTTCGGGGGCTAACATAACCACGAATTTTGGCAGCATACGGTGGGATGCTGTGGGCTACGGGGTGGGAATCGTGCAGCCCACCCCTCCAACAGAGCCTCAGCACATATTTTGCTTCGCCTCTTTCTTTGCTGCCAGTCACGTCAGCACTTAGCTGGTCTCAACTGCTGGAATTGCCCAGTTCACACCATGGCTGGGATCGCACACTAAGTCCACAGCAGCCCCAGTCAAAGAGCAAAAGAAAAATGAACTGACAGAGCTATCTGGCAATGAGAGAGGGAACCCAAAAACACATGAAGGGGAGGGGGCATTCAGGATCCTCCTCCTAGCCCAGCTTCCCTCGCCCTCTTCTCCTGACGCCTGCTTTTCACCCTCAATTTTTCAGAAGCAAAAATTCAGCAACTTTAATGTGATTACTTTCCTCTTGAATTTCTCCATGAAAGCTGATGAGTTGGTTACATTTAACACTGTGGCAAACTCTGCTAGGGAGCAGTCCCATGAATGCTGAGAGAGGGAGAAAATCCTACAACTCCGAGCGTGGTCCAGGACTGAACTTCTCTCTAAGCACACAAAGGAGCTGCATCCTCAGTTTCTTTCCACAATTTTTTATTTTACCTTCCTGGCTGAGGTCTGGCCTGCTGTTATCCCAATAAGCTTCTTTGCAATTAAAACAGTTCACTGAAATTCCTGGCCCCATGACAAAAATGCATTCCAGTCTCAGAGCATCTTGTTGGTCTTTTATAACCTAATTACCAGCCTGTGCAAATTATTCTTCGGTGAGCCGAAGAATCACCAAATGGTTGTAAAACACAATAGTGCATAGAAGGAGTCTCACAGAGATGAGATGAACAAGTGCAAAAGCTTTTTAAAATGAATGCTCCCGCACTTTAAAAACAATGTAGTTAGGGATTGATCTAGGGGCTCTGTTATAATTATTAATTTCATTGCTATTCCTGCAGACCAGGGCTTCCTCAAATAGCCACCTGGAGCAAAGCTGCAGAACCCCAAAGCCAGCAACCAAATCAGGCTGCCTTGGAGCACGGATCTGGCCCTCTCCACTTCCCCTCAACCACCCACTGTCTGGTGCTTTCCCAGCTTGTGCACAGTCCTCCCCCTATTCTGCAAGAATGAAATTGCTCTCCTTACAACAGTTCCCGGTAGTCACAGATTTAGGCCACCACAAGCTGCTTTTCTGCTTTGTTTTACTTTGGGAGGCTGAGCTATTTTTGACCTCACCCTTGTGGCCTCGGGTCCTGTCCATCACTGGAAAACTGTCCCCAAGAACTCCAAATGGAATTTGACCCTGAGGCTGAAAAAGTTTCTCTGCCACATCCCAGAAAGTGGCAGTGCCAGAAAGACCAGTGTCTGGACCAGCACAGGATTGCTGTGGCTGAGTCAGGTCACCAAAGGACCGTTCCTTTTTAAAATGCATAGTCAAATATTTTACAATATATTTTACAATCAGGATTGCTAGTTGGCCCAAGACTTAGATGGTTACAGATGCTCTTTTTCCTTATTGTTCCTTTAAACCATAAAACCATAGACCATAAAACACCCCTTTATACAAGGAATACTGCTTATTCCAAAATGCCCATGGGGCAGCAGGTGCTTGCTAGGCAGTTATAACCCCATACATATGTGGGACATGAAGATTCCTTTCATCTGGAGCACCCCTAGGATTCTTATTCCTGAATTAAAAATGAGGAAGCCATGATGGTTTGCAGGCCTGGGGTAAACAATCCGTTCATCTGCCACCAATTTGGTAATTTGCCACCACGATGGCAGCCATTACTTTACCAAAGACGGGAAAAGGACTTTTAGGAATACCAGGCGTCACACGAAATGCAGAACAAGGTGGAGGAAGTTGGCCACAAGATACTAACCCTTGTCCAATCTTCTCAAAACTTGTGTATTTCTTCTTGGGGTCGCCCACGCTTACTATACCTCCTTCAAAAAAGAAAAGGGCAAGGGGAAGCAGACGCTACAATTAGAACTTTATTTTGCAACAGAATTGGAGAGATCGGGAAGACAGCTCACCTTCTCTGCAAGCATATATGCAGAAGCAAGGCTGAGCTGATGAATCGCAGCTCCCAGCAAGACCTCAGTTCCTTGGGAATGCAATTCACTTTCTACAGTTTTCTGAGGAATCTTATTTATCAAAAGATTAAGGAAGAAGGGTCCAGATTAGACGTTTACAGAGCAAGACCATGGGGTGTTGTTTTTTGCTCTGCTAACTTCTACACCTCGGAGTAACTTAAATGTTGTCATCCTTACTGCCAACTCACTCTGCACTGCTTCAGCAAGTACAAATTAATAGATTATATCCCGACGTAACATGTTGATCTGCTCGGCTTCATTTCACTCATGGCTCAATAGTCATACTTTGCACTGTTTATCCAGTGCATTTCCAAAGTGCTTCCATATCACAACCACCTTTCTGCACACTCAGAGGTAGCTGAGTGTGTATCACCTGCACACGCTTACAGGTGGGATTCCAAGGCCAGATCACCTAAGGAGGCGGCGACTGTCAACCTTCTTTTGATATACAATTTTCTTATTGCGCGGCATGTATATATTTGCATTTCACAGGCAGAGACGAAGGGCCCTGCTGAGTGGGACAAGCTGCGAATTGCAGGCCGTTTCCATCTAAATCCACAAAGGATCTTGCCCCAAGAGTCATTCTTGGCTCGACTCTGCCATTCACACCCAACAGGACGCAGATGCCCATGCTATTTAAAGAAGCGGCGTTATCACATCATTCACCACAAGTTTTCAGAAAGCGGAGGACTTTTTTTAATGCCAACCCTTCCTTGCACACTGGAAGTGCTAAAATGTTCGCCTTTGCTGGCTGACAAGTTACACAAACAACAAGTTGCAACATGAAGTCTGCCGAGGAAAGATTTTTGCATGGTACTCCGCAGCAACCTTGTGATACAAGAGGCAATATTCCCCCTCCCTTGAATGTACACTTTAAAGACCCAGCAGCAAGAGCCTTACTTAATTTTTCCAAGATCTCTTCGTCGGTCATTTTGGGTTTTTTCTTCGGTTTCTCTGTGTTCCTCGTGAGAGTATCAGGGGGTGTCGTGTTGTTTTCAGAAGGGGAAGGAAGCGGAGAAGTGGACACGTCCCTGGTTGGGCCTGGAGGAAGCGGTTCTATCACAGACCGAGTATAAATCTGAATTCAAGGGAAGGGTGGGAAATTTAGGCACATGTTTCCCAAGTCCAGCCAAACACTGGCAGCCTTGCATAGAACTGTAAACCCTGGTCTGTGTTAACAATGGTGTGTTGTTTTAACCCTGAATTGGCTGTATCCATGCTTCATCCATGCAGATCTAGGGTTTCCTGGTGTCTGTGGGTACCCAGGGACACCTTTTTTGCTCCCCAACTTTCCTGATTTTTATAGCAGTTCTTAAGATTTGTTTTAATTAATGGCGAGGCTAGGCTTCTGCAAAGTAAAGCAATGCTCATTAGAGTCTTCTTTATCTAGGTGCAGAAATACTTTATTAATATAATAGATTTATTTCCCACCTTTTTTCCTCTTGTGAGGAATGCAAGGCGGCCTACGCAGCTCCCTTTTATCCTAACAAGAAACCCGTGAGATAGGCCCAAAGTCACCCAGAGAGCTTCACGGTCGAACTGGGACTAGACCGATGATAGATAGATAGATAGAACTTTATTACAGTCACAGACCAGCTCCATTCAAATAGATAAACAGATTTATCTATTTATTTAAATAGAAGTTAAAAGTCATTAAACGCATTAAAAGTCATCTGTCATAAAACCCCAGTCGAATGAACTGGGACTAGAGCCAGGATCTCCCAAGTCCCCAGTTCAACTCTCTAAGCGCTGCACCTCACTGGCCTGTGTTTTGGGGGAGAGGCCCACCTCTGCCCCCCACTCAGGCTTTGGGGGCAGCTTGTTTGTCTTTTAGCCTTTCTTTCTAGTTTGGCCTCTGGAAAATACGTGTTCTGTGAACAGCCGTGCCCAACATGGCCGCCATTCTATGGATGGCTCATGTGCCACCTTGGCAGTCCTGTGAAAACAGTCTGGTGTAGTGGTTAAGAGCATGGGACTGGGACTGGGACTCAGACGACCTGGGTTCAAGTCCCCGCTCAGCCATGGAGCCCACTGGGTGACTCTGAGCCAGTCACAGGCTCTCAGCCCAACCTACCCCACAGGGTTGTTGTTGTGGGGATAAGATGGAGGAGGAGAAAGAGGTAAGCTGCCTTGAGCCCTTTGTAGGAAAAAGGCAGGATATAAATCGGAAAATAAATAAATAAAAAACACCCACGATGCACCCTCCAAATTCCAGACATGCCCAGTAGCCCAGGAATGTTTGGTTTCCTGCTGTTTACACTAGGAATCCCTAAGAGAGCAATTGCAGCCCTTCCTGATTTGATTCGCTTCGCTCCAGGGGCGCTGAGACTGCAATTCCCATCACTCCTAGCCAGTAGTGCCATTTTCTACAAGGAGGCGTATTGATCAGTGTTGATGGACCTTCTGTATGAAGGGTCCCAACCACGGTCTGAAAGGACACAGCCCAGGCACATGGCAATGACCAGCTCAGCCGGCTCACGCCAGCACGGTGGACTCCACCCGCAGTCAGCATGTCGCCTAAACCAGGCCATAGTTTCCCTGCGGTAACCCAAGCGGCTCCATGGTCTTGGGCCTACTCACGGATTTCGTGTGCTCAGGCCGAGGGGCAATGACTGGGGGAGGTGCAGCATCATCCTCATCATCTTCATCTTCCGAAACCGGGGGCACAGCGGGGGTCTCGGACACCGCCTTCACATTCTACATGGAAATCATTTAGGAGGGGGAAAGACTAACCATCAGGCTAGAAATTTACAGGACGCCATGAAGTAAAAGGAAAACGACCATCTCTGGCCTGTCATCACATATCATGAGGACTAGAAGATAAGGTGGTATTATAAATTAAATCTCAGGGTGCTAAATTCCATGAAGAGCACTGGACTCCACTGCATTTGCAGAAGTGTATATAACTCTGAATAAAAGCCCCGTTTCACTATACTATTTTGGGGAGGAATAGAGCTTTCATTGACCCAATATACTTTGCTTTTCACTGGAATCTTGGAATTCAAGGTTTAAGCCCCTGAATTTTGCAGGTAGAACAGATAATACTTCTGTTTATACAGACACGGTTGATCTACACATTTAATCATACAGCAGAATTCACAGGATTTAATGTATAACCCCACGCAATTTCTTCTTGCCACTTCTTTGCAATGACTAAAATTCACATTTGTTTTCCAGGGAACAATTCATTTACCTTCTGTATTTTAACATGATTTTAAACCACCGTTGGGGACACTCGTCGTTGGAAAACACAGCATACAAATGTTGTTATGTGCTGTCAAGTCATCACCAACTTGGAGACCCCATGAACACCCTTCAAAATATCCTGCCCTTGGCAGCCCCGCTCAGCACACAAGTGGCTGAGCTAAAACATTCATACGTGAAGAATCTGGAGTACTTTTTAAATAACTGGTTCCAAACTCGGGGTAGAGAGCGGAAAAAGGAGGCTTGTGACAAGATCCAATGGATATGCAAAAGTTACATCGTACTTGATGGAGATTATAGCATGTTTTAGTATGTTTTAGCTCAGCAGCAAACAAAACCCCATTAACAGAGGTTCAAGGAAGATTGTGCGGGGGCAGAAGGGCCCGCAAACGACAGGACTCTCCCCCTCCCTGAAAAACAAGGTTCTGCAAACAGTCTATGAAAACGCAGCACGGAAAGGAAGCATGCAAACACCGCAATGCATTCCTTCACACCGCCAATTCACAATGCCAGCCTGGTCACTGGGTGAGATGAGGCCAAACTTTCCAAGGACCAGTTCTCGTAGGGGGCTGAAAACCCCATCTCCCTGCCCACCTGATCTCTTCTGCACGCAGCATTTTAGGAGTCCAGGCAAGACTTTGCAACCAAATCCTGGGACAACACAAAGTCACTCTGCATAGCCGAAGTGCCTCTTAGCATCTTTCCCCTCCACTCTCATTCTCCCAGTTGATTTAAGAAGTGGCTTGTTTCAGCCTTTCTAAACCTACGACTGGTGAACCGACAATTCTAACTAGCTAGACTGTAAGGCAAAACCCAGTTACTCCACATCCGTACTGAACATAAAGGCATAACGCTCTGACACACCGAGAGTCTGGATGGACAGACTGGGCTCTCCCCCTCACACTGAATGCCTGCACAAGATGACACAGCACAGATGAGTCACCCTCTGGGGTCGGCTAAGTTCCCTGGACAGCTGCTCTGACCCTCTGCGGTAGGGGTGCAGGCAGCCACACGCCCCTTGTGAGCCAGGATGCCCCCTTCATGCATTCAAAAGTCACCGATCTTTTGCCTGGCAAAACATTTGTTACTGACCAAAAACACAAGGCAATCTCTAAGCTTGCACAGAGTGGTGTTTTTGAACCCAATCTGGTATTCACCTCCAGGGACTCTCCTTACGAGCACACCTGGCCCCCATCTCTTCTGGAGGGGCCGTCTGAATGCAAGCACGCCTCCTCTTTGCATGCCAGTCCTCTAATTGGGGGACCCTCCCCTGCTGGTGGCATGTCAGGGAGAGCAAGAGCCGGGGCTGCCTGGCCAGCGCCTGAAACTCCCCTGCTCCGGGTCCCCTCCCGCCAACTGGGCATCCCGGCTGTTCCCATGGACTGCCTGCCCACCCGGGGAGTCTGCCCTTGAGAACGGCGTCTCCACTCCTCTCATCCCAGAGTTTCAGCTTGGGCCACAGTTCCAGGATCCCCCCGCCCCGCAGTTCTGCTTCACATTCTGATTCCGATTCTTCTGAACCCCAGCCAGCAGGCCACGAGAACACGCGTCCAAAGCAGCCGTCTCCCTCACTCCCGGCACACTCAGAGCAACTATACCAGAAGATGCAATTTTAAATTTATGTTAGATTTCCTTCTGCTTTTACGTTTAACGTACGTTTCAGCAATTCTGGCTATGGGAACACACTGCTCCAGATTAGTCAGGATGGAGCTGCAATGGTGTGAATGCGCAGCCACGGATAAATGTCTACCACTCGATCCAAGATGAGACAATTGCAGGTCTTCCCATTACTTGGGAAGGAAGACTGAGGTTGCAAAGAGAGGCCAAGATCTGCCCTGAAGTCTGCTCTATTCCCTCCATGCTGCATCCCCACCATAGTGGCAACTGAGTATCTTCAGAGACACATTACATCAGATACGGTTGGAGCCGGAGGTCAGACTAGATGGCCCAGGAGGACCCTTCTGACTCGCTCTGTTTCTATACACCAGGGAGACTTTGTTCTTCTTTCAGGGTGGGTGGAATTTAGAAGGGAACCTGTGGAAAGGTTTGATCCTCCCATCCCAGTGCATGGTGGTCTTGATCCAAATTGGGCATATGTGCACTTATTCTATAGTAAGAGAGTAAAATCCATCTTCCGCTGCACAGCCTTCACTGAATTTAAAGTGTGTTTTTGACCTGAAAACAGGGCAGAGAAGCAGTGATGCACAAGCAACCTTCACCCCAGGTTGCGGGTTTCTCAGAAGGCCCTTGACCCATTTCATGTCAAGGTCTGAAGGAGGGCCGCAAGAAGCTTTTCAGGGTTTCCAATAAAAGGGAGAGTTTACTTTATTTACATATTTATTTATTATTCTTATATCCCACCTTACCCTCACTGTGGAACTCAAGGTGATGACATGCGGTTCCCAGAAGGGAGGGTTCCCCTCCAAGCGCAGGCCAGGGGCGGACTTGCTTAGCTTCCATCTGGTGGAAACCTTTGTTCTGCCCAACATACTTATACAATCCCTCTCTGGGGCTCAACACTGAATAAGCCACACCTTTGCATATGCCCCCCTCACCTCCCGCACTGTCACATGAGGAATCTGGACTTCGGCATGAGGTTTAGGATTTGGTGCAAACAGGACTCCAAAGAAATGAATTTTCTCTTCCAGCATCTATGCTAACATACAGACCCTGGGGTGAGATCAGGGAACTGGAAAACGTCAAAACTGGAAGGGAGTGGAGGGGTGGGGTGACAGCAAGTGGCAGGCCAGAAAAGGGTAGACTGAATACATGGAGCAAAGAAGGCATTCGCTGCCATCTTTGGCAAAGCCAGTGAAGAAAGAAAACACGCATAAGGTGTCTGTTTTGAAAGATACCCTTGAATATGAGAATATCTTCTATGAGGTTCCATGAGGTGGAAGATATTCTTGTCAAAAATGCAAGGCCCACATTTTCCCCCAACGTCAATAGGTAGCGGGACAGAATGGAAGGCGACAAGAACAGATTCTGCTGAGTTTCATTCCTATCCTAGTCCTGGGCTATTGGTGGAATGGGGTTCAGATCACCTTCTGGAGAATCAGTGGGAATTTGAATGCAGGCACTTTCACCATTCTTCCAGATGGGCGGCCACCTAAACAGAGCTGTTTTGAAATCCATGTTATGCTTCCCAAAGGACAAACCTCTCCGTTTCTGCTGTGCAAGTAATTTGGAATGGCGTTATTTATAATCTTCATTATTAATTTTAAGAGCATGAAATACAGCGAAGAGTAAGAGCCGCTTCATCTTCTCCCAGGGAAGGGCCAGCGGACTGCATCAAGGGCACTCTGCTGGCAGCGCAACCTCAGTTCTCCGTGCTAATGAAGGACAGCCTGGCACACGGCCCGTACCAACTGCCTTCAGTGCTGCTGATTAAAACGCCTGATGGGCGCTTTTAAAAAAACAAGCCACCAAGCTTCCTTTGTTCAGGATGCGCTCACTCTCACCTGCTGAGCACCAGGAATGCCGCCCCCGTTTTATTGCCAACCAGCAACATGCCCTTTGCGATGGATGGATGCGCAGAAGCAGAGAAAGGGCCTCTTTACTACAGAGGCTCAAAGGAAAGGGATGCTCGGACCAACATCCACCCACCTGTGAGAAGGACGGCACAGGTGCCACTCATTCCTGGGGCAGCGATGGTGGGAAGACGCTGTTTGGTGCTGTCAAATCATCTTTGATTTATGGCGCCCCTATGAATGAGTACCGCCTAAAACATCCTGTCCCAGGAAGATGGGAGAACCAAGTCGTTTGTCCCCAGTCTTTCCTTGAAGCCACAGTTTTGGTGGGGTGGTAAGAAGAGGAGGTGAAAAGGTGCAAGGAAACCAAGGTGCAGGGCATAAAAATAAAAAACCCAGTGGCACCAATAGAAGCAACAATGGGATTTGCAAATGTTACACACCCTGGGGCGCTGACAATATGAACAGGCTAATAAAGACCCAGAAGAACTCATAGGATGCACTCTGATCAATAAATATCTGCAGATGAGCTCAATGTCAGGCTAAAGGGACCCAGGTTCAAATACCGACTCTGCCATGAAGCCCACCAAGCACCCACGGGGTACTTGGGTGCTTGATCTACTAAGCCAGATGGTTTTGGGGATAAAAAGTGGGAGGAAGGAGGGCGACATGTACACCAATTTGAATTTTTTGAGAAAGGGCAGGTCATTAAATGAAGCAGAAGCATTAAATGAATCCTTTTGTCTCGTGAAGTAAAAGGAAAGGCACGTTTCCAGCACAAAGTACCAAGTGGTCCTTTTGCCAGCAGGTAGAAATCGCTGATCTGAGCAGATTTTGGGTGTGTTTGAAAATGGTGCAGGAGGAGAACCTTGCAAATAGCCTGGACAGACGAACACGGGAGCCCTAGATCACTGTCTTCCGGGCCCTCCTACAAGTCAGGATAAAGATCCGTGGCATGGACACCTTGACCCAACTTCGCAGCACACGGGCTCACGAAGGCCAAGCAACGCACCGGTGCTTTCC